CCCAAGGGGTGAAACATCTCCCTGTGGGTACCCGGGACTCAGAGCTCTCCCTCCCGCCCCAATCCAGCAGGATTTCCCCGTTCCCAGGGGGAAATCATTCCCCCAAATGAGGTTTGAGTGAGACCCCACCCTGCTGGCCCCTTCTGACCCCTCTCTGAGCCCCTCAAGGGATTAAACCAACCCCTGTGGGTACCCGGGACTCAGAGCTCTCCCTCCCGCCCCAATCCAGCAGGATTTCCCCGTTCCCAGGGGGAAATCATCCCCCCAAAATGAGGTTTGAGTGAGACCCCACCCTGCTGGCCCCTTTCTGACCCCTCTCTGAGCCCCCCAAAGGGGTGAAACACCTCCCTGAGGGGCTCAGAGCTCCCCCCTCGCTGCTGCCCCCGGGGCTGCTGCTCCTGCTGAGGAGGAATCCGTGTAAATCCGCTCTTTCCTGCCCCTTCCCAAGGCCCCTGTCCCCCCCGCGGTGTCCCACCCACCCACGAGTCCATTCCAGGACCCCCCCACGAGCAGCGGGGAAGGCGGGGAAGCCCCCACGGCCGGGTTTGAGGAGGGAGAAAAACAGGTGGGGGGAGTCGTGGAGCGATTTGGCAGCTTTTAACATTTTAAGGATCCCTTTTTTTCCCCCCCTTCTGCTCCTCCTCCTCCTCCTCCTCCTCTTCTTCCCACCTGGCACGTGGGGGGTTTTGCTGCCCACCCACCTCCTGTCCCCCCGTGGACCTGCTGCTGCTTCCCCCCCCACCCCACCCGAGTCCTTTCGTGGCCAATAAACTGCAGAGAGATGACGATGATGGTTCTGTGCTGTCCTCTCAACCCTCCCCCACCGCGGTGCCCCAAACTGGGGTTGCCCCGGGTCGGGGTGACCCCAAAAATACACCCAGAGAGGGGGGATGGGGGGTGGGGAAAGAACTGGGAGGGACGGGAGGAGAAGGATTTGGGTGGGTGGGTGGATGTGACCCCACTACGAATCCAACCCCGTCCTGGGCTCGTCCCTCAGCGGGACGGGGGGATATTGGGAAGGAATTCCTGGCTGGGATGGTGGGGAGGGGCTGGGATGGAATTCCCAGAGAAGCTGTGGCTGCCCCTGGATCTCTGGGAGTGTCCAAGGCCAGGCTGGATCCCCCCGGGATGGTGGGAGGGCTCCAGGGTGGGACTGGATGGGATTTAAGGTCCCTCCAACCCGACCCATTCCAGGATTCCACAATCCTGGAGCTGGGCTGGGAGAGCTGGGAATGTTCCCCTGGAGAAGGGGAAGGATCCAGAGAGAGTTTGGAGACACTTCCAGGGCCTGGAGGGGCTCCAGGAGAGCTGGAGAGGGATTTGGGATTTGGGATGGAGGGACAGCACACAGGGAATGGCTTCCCGCTGGGAAAGGGGGGAGTTAGGTGGGATATTGGGAAGGAATTCCTGGTGGGGAGGGTGGGGGATGGATTTCCCAGAGGATGCCCCATCCCTGGGAGTGCCCAAGGCCAGGTTGGATCCCCCTGGGATGGTGGGAGGGGATGGGACTGGATCACCTTTAGTGCCCCTTCCAGCCCATTCCATGATTTTCCCTCAGTTATTCCAGGCTGGAGCAGCTTTTCCTGTGCTCCTGCCCAGTTTGTTTTTGTGGGATCGTGGAACAATTTGGGTGGGAAGTTATCGCGACATCTCCCTCTGTCTTGTTTATCAGGACTGGAAAAGCTTGGGAAAAACTCTTAGTCATGGATTTTTTAGCACAAAAAATTAGACAGGGTAGGAAGACAAGGATTGGAGAAAGTGATGATTAGGAACAAAATTATTCCTTTGACAATCTTGTTGACCCAATCAGAAAGGGAAGGAAAGTGAAGCCAACTAAAGAGACCTGAAAAGCCTTTGTCTTGGTTTATGGTGATGTCACTAACAAGTTCTTTTAGAGTGTCAATGCTTTTGTACACACTCTCAGAGTGGTCTGAAAAGTTCAGACAACACAGCCCTTCAAATTCTTTGCAACCATCAGGCCATGTGGGCTAGAGTGGAGAGGGCTTTGGCTGCACCAATGTTGGCGAATGGGAAACTGGCCCAGAATCTCTGAGTGTGGGACCAAATTTGGAATTTGGGGTCACAATCTGGTGGGACATGAATGTTTAGATCATCCTCCTTAGCTGGGTTGCTTGGAGGAGCTTTGTGTGGCGGTGGCTCGGCGTCCTCGGCGATTGGGGGCGGTTTAGATTTGGTGCGCATCAAAATGAGGGATCCTTTGTTTCGAAGGGGTTTGGGTTTGTCAGAAATTTGGGTTCTGGTGATTTGCAATTTAGCTGGGTTGTACAGAGCAAGTTTCCCAATGGTGCATGGCCCTCCCACAGGGTTTTTTGGAACGCCTCGCCACGTTCTATCGTCACAGATAAGAAAATAGGGGGAAGGCAGTTTTGTGGGTTTAGAGAAACGTTCAGTGGGAAGAGGGTATGGTTGGGAGTAGTTGCACCACTTGGTGGTGTTAGTATACATGATAGAGTTAGGGGATAGGTTAGGTTTTTGGGTAAGGCGATTAGAAGTGGGTTTAAACCTAAGGCAAGTGGTAGCTACAGACGAGCCTAAAAGATCTAATTCTTGGGGATCTGTGTCTAGGGTTCCCTGACGTAGGAGAATTTGGGAAATAGTGTTTGAAGAAGGAAGGAAATTATCTACAAGGGAAGTGTTCTGGATAAACCCGTTCCAGTCAGGTATACCCACGAGACAGCTTTTAAAGGGGTGACTCACGCTATCGAGGGAAAGGCACATTGTGTCTGTGTTGGTGGCTTTGGCCAGGGTGATCCAGACGTTTTCTGGTGGTTGCTGCATCCAGTCTGGAACTGAGAGAGCTGAGGTGGTCCACAGTGGAATCAAGAAGTGGAGGATCAGGAGGGTCTGGAGTCCTCCAGGAAGGGCTTGATCCTTCTTGAGGGGACCCATCGTGGGCCTGTATCAGTGAGTATGCATGCATGACCTCTTCCCCAGGTTATGATGGGGAAAGGCCCTAGCCATTTGTCAGATACCAAGTCTTTGAAAAGTACTTTGGCTTCTTGAAGGGGAACAGAGTTTGTTTGGGTGAAGTGTTTAAAAACTGGTGCCTGCCCGTCCTCAATCCTGTTGAGGAAGTTGAGGACGTACATGGCTTTTTGCAGACACTCATGTGGGGAGAGGCCACTGCTCTTTCATTTCTGCCTCTTCAACATGGATTTGAGTGTCTGATGAGCTCAATTGCCTGACCTGTGGGAGAGTGAGGAATACCAGTACGGTGTTCCACGCCCCACAAGGCCAAAAATTCCTGAGTGTTCTTTGCTACATAGGCAGGCCCGTTGTCGGTTTTGATCTGTTTGGGTATGCCCATGTGAGCAAAGGCCGTGGTGAAATGTTTCTGCACATCACGGCTCTTCTCACCAGAGTGTGCGGTGGCCACAATGTAATTTGAACAGGTGTCAATAGACACATGAACGAATTTCAATTTCCCGAAAGAGTCAATGTGTGTGACATCTGTCTGCCAGATTTGCAGTGGGAGTAACCCTCGGGGGTTTACTCCTTCTGCAGGCAGTGGTGTGATGAGCTGACAGTCAGGGCAGGCTGAAATGATGTCACGAGATTGTTTTTGAGTGAGGCCAAATTCCTTTTGTAGCGCTCGGGCACTCTGATGGAAGAAATCGTGAGAGAGTTTGGCTTGTTCTAACCGCTGTGGGACGACAGCTGACCCTGCTAAGAGGTCGGCTCGTCGATTCCCCTCTACTATTGGACCAGGAAGTGTGGTATGGGAGTGAACATGGGTGATAAAGAATGGTGAAGAGTGGTGATTTACAGCAGAAAGCAATTTTTGGAATAGCTGAAATAATTGTTCATTTTTAATTTCTCTGAGGTACGAATTCTCGCACCGCTGAACAAGGCCCACCACGTAGGCCGA